CGGTCCCCATGGCAACGAGGCCGTCAGCGGCGCCTGCAGTGCTGCTGCGGACTGCAGCACGGCCGCGTCCCGCCGCAGCCAGCGCGGCTCCGCGGCGGCGCCGAGCGACGCCCTCACCCCCAGCTTCGTGCTACGCGCATCCCGATACCTGGGTTATTTGGAGGACTCGGGTACCAATGCCATTGCCATTAAAACTCTTAATCTCAGCAATGATGGCAAACCCACCTGTGCTCTCAAATCAATGCCAAATCAATCCTCCATGCTGTTGTTCCTCCTAACGAGTTTTCCTTGGAGAATCATACATACAATCACTGGTTACGAAAAGTCTTTACACAGTACTACCACCTAGTATTTGTTTCAACCTACTTACATAAATGTTTGCCATGCTAAAAAGGTGGCAGACATTCAACATACTGCAAACAGAGCTTGTGAGTTGCCCAAGAACATGGTATTGTAACTGCTTAGAGAACTGACAGGGTTCAAGCACTACCCTACTTGGTAGCAACAAGTTGGTGGCAGGTGCTGCTCAGGGCTGAAAGGACATCTCGAATTGCCACCAGTGCCAAAGAGACTTCGAGAGGCAACAGCACCATCAGGCTGCAGCAGAACCCCGGCTATGCAAAGACCTGGAACAAACTTTAACATTTCCAGTCCTCAACAAGTCTGGTAACAGACAGCAAGCAAACCCTGTGCCGTGCGCTGCACTTGGACAAACGGGAGGCTCTCCCTGCAGCAGAATTTTCTCATGTCTCGCACTACAGCACCTGCTTTGCGCTTTTCCCCAGGAAATGCTGCCACCCAGTGACTGCCCAGGGCACCAGCTCAAACTCACACGTGGAGCCACACAGGAGCCCAGTGATTCCAAAAGGAGACACACAATTTCATGGTCATTTAAAGCACAAAAATAACCGTAAAACCCCATATAGGATGCAATTAAAACTGTCCAATCAGAAAAAAAGAAAAAAAAAGAAAAAAAAAGTGCAAGCACTTGACCCTAGAATTTAAATACAAGACAGTCTACAGCACACTTAAAAAAAAGCCTAACTAAAATAACTTACAAATGTATGTAGAAATTACACAGGTTTTTCATTTATTCCTTATACAAACTCTGAACCCCATATTGATAACAAATTAGTCCTATATTGCTCCAGGAACATATGGTAGAAAGATATTGCTACGTCATTATTTAATTCATGTAAGCTATAGCTAAGTTCATTTTGAAAAAATGAAGATACAGCTGCTGGCTTTGAAGCCAAAATAAAACTCAAAATATATTAGCAGCCTGTTAATTCATTAAAAAACTAATTAAAAATGCAATAAGGTTGCAAAGCCTGGCCAACTAAGTTTAATCTATTTCATTAAAAAATATCTAAAAAGAGCAGAGCTATTCTTAGGGGACAATATACCTATCAGTCATTCAAGGTAATAGGAAAGCAACACAGTCAAGCTCATTTTACAAAGATTAATATGGCCTGAAAAGCATTTATCCCCATTTTTTTTCTCCTTCAGGACATACTGAAGCCCCAGAGAGTCCAAAAATAATTGTTTTGAAAAACTAGGTATTATTCCTATGACACTTCAAGAGACCACAGCTCATGAAAAGAGGGAAAAAAAGAAAAGAAAAAAAAAAGTGGCAGATTTGGGAAAGAATGGAGTCCCAAGAATCTAAATAACTTGATATTAAGGACTGCTAGCTTAAGAACCCTAAACAAAACTGGTCACAGTGAAGAACATGGAAAGAGACGCTTAAGCAAAGAGTCTTTTCTTTAAAGACTGTTTTTTTTAAAAGCCATCTTTAAGCAAAAGCCACCAAGCATTTGAACTACTACTATAAATTCACACAATGGAAAAACATACCAATATGATATTGTTAATAATTTGATGATGATATTTATCCATTTGTGGCCATCTCTCCTAAAACAGGATTCCTGATAGAACAGGGTGCTATTTTGCAAGAATTCCCAAGGAAGCAGTTTGACTTCAGTTATAGTACTAGCTTGCAAGTCAAAGAACTGCTTGAAAGACAATGGGGCTTTAATTTTAGGCATGCTGAATATTACCAATTAATATAACCCTCGGGGTACACTAACGATGCTGTTTTTCGCACCTAATCTTTACAATGACAGCTCGCACATGTGGTTCCAGGTGTAACCCCACTAATCAACACCCATGTAGGGCCCAAAGGAGATGAAGGAAGGTGGCAGCAATTTATGAACTCTTATGAGTATCTCCTGGATGAATAGAGGTCATTCTTGACAGTTTCTTCTTGAAAATGTATCTCTGGAAAAGCAGAACTAGCTTAACTATTCGAACATTTTCTTCTCCTCATAGGGTCATTACATTTTTCTTATGTTCATGTGAAAATTAAGTATGCAGGTCTACTGCCAGCCATCAAAATGGTAAAAGCATCTTGAGAAAGCTAATTAAAGCTAAGAACAAACACTTTCACCCCCTCTCCAGCTTATTTTTCCCCAAAAGGAGGATCACAGTATGTTGTGTTATGGAAGACTGAAAGCAATACTTAGTAATCTATAAAATCTTTCTTCACATCAAGCATGTGCTTATTGCAAATTAGCAGGACAGCTTTGCAACATTTTTGAACAGTCTATATCATGGTTCACTAAACTTTTCCCATAGATTGCAGCATTTACAGTGCTCGTACGAGGTAAGGAGTTACGCAGAAGCTGCTCATGGAGAATTTAATTGCCAAGCATTGTCCACCAAGAAACACAACATAAGCTGTAATTGCTACAAGTTGAGTCACCTTCTTGAACACGAACACGGCTGCAGAGCAGAGGCACAGAGCAGCAGAGTGCTGACTGCTGCAGTCCTTGTAGCGAAAGGACAAAGGGCAGCCAGCGCCGCTGAACAAAGACATCGCCTCCACGTGGTCCACCACCCATCGCAACTGCTCAGGACACGACGCGGCAGGGAGGGGAGGGAAGGCAACAGGGCAAGCTGGGGAAAAGCAAAGGTTATGAAGGGGAGGAAGACAAATTTATGGTGCGCTTGGGGCACAGACCCCATCACCAAATCTCAAAACTGTTTTCATTTCATTTTTGACTCAATATGTTTAAATAATTTAGAACTATTTGTTTTCTATTCTTCTTGCATGTTTCACACAAATACTTTTCCTTCTATGCATATGGAGATTTTTATTCCACTTGTAGTGTATTTTTAATCAAACCACTGAAAATGAATTTACGTATGCTTCAAAATCTAGGGCAAGAGGAGGTTGCTTTAATTCAGATGCACCCGGTAAAGTATCAACCTCATCTTGTAATAACAAGATGAAGAAGGTTGTCTAAATATTTGTTTAATTTGAAACTTTAAGTACCCAGAGTTAAGCTCTCCGACTTCCTCTCTACTGAACTTGTTTGGGTGGCTTAACTGCATTTCCACGCTTCCTCACATCAAGGTTCCTTTGCAATTTTCCTCTCAGACTGAACTTCCTGGGCTTGCATCACATGGTTTGATGATATTTTTCATAATCTTGCAATGTATTTCATTGTAAATTATTAGTACAAACTCCACCTTAATTACATACATATATATATATTTTTTTTCCTCTCTCTCATAAGTAAAGAAAGACTTCTAAGAAGCAAGTAAGGAAGGGGGCACAATTGTTCATGCACTGGGCTCATGTGCAGCAAGGAAGATTTCGAGGCCCATTCAGGAAGCCTGAGATAAGAGACTGTCCACAGCTAGTTGTTAGATCCAGTCTGATAACACTGATTCAGAAGGACCGAATGGAAATACAGTACCAAATGAGCACGGCAACAGTGAGAAAGTCTGTCTGTGGTGTTTGTTTCTTTAAAGAGCAGAGAGATGCAAGAGACATTACCAGTAGCACTGCGCATTATTCTCTAGTAGCTTCTCCACCATGTGCTCCACTCTCACAAACCAACTTGGCACAGCTTTGTATATTAACGGAGTATCTGACCTATAAGAGAAAGCGTTGGGTAAAACACCAAAACAAAAACATTTTCAGAGCTATGGAATTTATAAAGTGTTCTTTAAAATATATTTTTGCACATCTCACTCTTCTCCGCAGACTGAATTAACTGTTCAACTTGAAGTATTATTATACTTAGCAAAGCTGCACTTTTTAACTGTTATTATTACTATTACTACACAAATAATTACACTTAGATGAACTACTATATAAAAACTCTTTCTGCATAGATTCTTCAAGTATCCTGCAAATTACAGGGTACTTGAAGAGTATGTTAGTTTTACTGACTATCTTGTTTAAGATGCCCTAAACAATGATGCAATAGCTGGATGTTTTGCTAGATTCTGTACAACTCTTAATGCTGCCATAAAGTCGTCCAGGTCCCACTTCAACTCAACTGTCTAACTTGAGATCTGTGTGGCCTCAATACTTCACAAAGGACCAAGATCGACCAACTCGATTTATTAGCAGTACAAAACTGGATGCAGAAGCAGAGCCAAGTCTCCAACAGCACTCAGCTGCAATGCTGATGTGAAAACTGAAAGCACGTTCAAGCACAGACAAAATGTAGTGCAGTTTTTAAAAAAACATACACAGCTACTTACATATTTAAAACAAATTATTAAAAAAGAGACATCATAATTCCCCTCCTAATTTTTTTTTTTGCATTTTTTTTTCTTCTTTTTTTTTTTTAATTTTTTGGGAAAAAAAAAAAAAAACACCACACACACAAAAAAAGGAACACACGGAAATAAAACCCTAGATCCCCAGACCTGAGGACTAGTCTTCATATGCTAGTAAGAGCTGGTACTTCTACCTAGAATTCAAGGAGCACTTACAGTAATGGACCTGTGCACTGTATCTTACGTTAACACCGAGCTCATACTGAACAAGTAAGTATGTGAAAGATGAGACAAAATGTTCAGGCAAAATACTGGGATGATGCAGTGAAAAGCACCATCCAAGGACACAGGCTTTAAAACAGGTAAAGTATAACAAGAACACCTTATTTCAACAACTTTAAGTGTTTGCTGTTTTGCTCTGAGATGCAGCTTTACAATGTATGTTTAATATCACTCAGCTTTAGAATATCATCCTCTCACACACAGAGACAAATTTTAAGGTCAGGACCAGCACCATCTTTGGTGAAGGACAATGGTGGCCACGTTTGTTTCCGAGTGCATCCTTCAGAATTGCACCAGAGGAACCAAAGCACCTAAGCGAGCTCACTGTTCCTTAACAGAGCCATAAAACACTCCCTGGAATGGGACAGGGCAGGACTTTTATACAGGAGGTGAAATAGAAGCTGGAAAAAATAACAAACAGTACATCTTCCCCAAATTATTTTCATATTTGTTTTGGACTTCAAACATGTTTAAAGCACACGAATGTCATCTTGTTTCATCTGCTTGTAATTTAAGGAAAAAAAAAAGATATTGATCAAATGTTATAAAAGAATGCTGCTTTGCTTTGGTTTCAGTGGCTTAAAAAGACAGACCTTTGTATCTGTCAAAAATGGAGCTTCCCAATATTGCTTCTAAACAGAATAACACTCAGCAGTTGCAAGGGTCACTACAGCCATCATGACTGTTAGCTGCCTTTTAGGGTTCCTAGATTGCCTTCGATCTAAATCATATGAGCATTTAGACTATCATGACCTCAAATGCACATGTGTTAGCTTCATACATGATCTCCTTTTACAGCAATCCAAATAAAGAAGAATTCTGACTGAAAACTGTCCCCTAGGTTCTTATCAAGCTGTCTCTGTTTTCTTTTCCTTTAAACTTAAAATTTGATACAATTACTACATATCACAGAAAAAGACAATAGTGCAAAAAAAGGGCTCTTATTTATGGTGCATAGAAGGAAGAACATCTCTCAATATATTCAGGATTTAAAAACTGCCCAGTTTCAGGGAAAAGCATGAACAATAGCACATTAAGTAGAAGAGTCTAATTTCAAAGTTTTCCTACATTAATCAAAATAACTTATAATGATGTTCGAAGTCAAGAACTACTTTTCTACTTTTAGCATATTCCAATTACGGTTTGATTTCTGATGGCAGTGAAATGAGCTTTTCAAGCTGAATCCATTATTCCATTCTTCCCACCAGATAATTTGCTGCTAGGTGCTGCCTGCAACTTATCATCAATCAACAAAAATGTCAACTGAGTGGCAGGATTAAGTATGTTCTACAGAATCAGCACTTCTCTTACTGGTTTGTCTCAAAAGCCCATGACTGTAAATCTGAATTGTTACATAAGAAAAATAAAACGGCAGCTTGGTTTCAGAATACCATCTATCAAACCGTGTCCCACCTCAGCAAGGACATAACACTTGCAGAGCACTTCCCCTCCCTTCTCTAGATGGCTCTTGGGGAAGAACCGCCCCCCAACACACACAATCACACTCCTGAAAGGCAAGTAAAGGTTATTCTTGCTATAAAGCAAAGAGAAATGCTCACTGCTAAAGCACTTCACCTGGTAGCATTAAAGCTCAGTATAGAGAAAACCTTTTATCTCTATCAATGCAAGGGCTGAATGTATCAGACATCTATCAAAACTTTCAAGTGACTACAAAAATTAAACTAGATTTTAAAGTGTTTCTTAAAACTTAACCAAAAGCTTTCAACACAGTACACTAACTAAACCTGATAACTTTTTAAAATTTACTCGACTTTTATAGAACTTTGTATTAATTTGGATTTAACTCAAAAACAGAGCACCTCTTAAGTCAGTGGTCTTGACTTGTGGTATTTCCAGTCTTGTTGCTTTTTTTTTTTTTTTTAATGTATTGGGAGGTTAAACAAATGGACAAGAGAGACAGTTTTGAAGAAACTACTCAGTTACAGCCTTCCATCTGAAAGCCATGTGCATTTCTCTCCTTACCTCCAGCAGAAAGGATAGCTGTGCTTAAAACTACTGCTGTGAACCAGTCTGCCTTTCTCTTTCAGTAACTTAATGATGTTCTTATCTGCATCCTAGAAAGACAGAATAAAAAGATTTCCTTGGAATATAAAACTTTCATTATTTCATATTTTGGCATAACAAAAATGTTTAAACTAGAGAAATTACTTGCCCCCGATATCCTGGTATATAACATGAATCCCCATCTTATCCTTCACTGTGTTTCAACAGGACAGAACTGCAAAATACAAACTATCTTCAGCACTAATACTAACCAGAACTCACATCAAGCAGTATTTTAAATCTTGCCCCCCAAAAATCAGAAGACTTGATAAAAGAAGCCATATAGGTGCCTCCTATCTAATATTTAGGCTTCACACCAGCATATTGCTCTAACACGTGACCCCAGTTAAGAAGCTGATGTTCTAACTTTTATAGCTACCTACTAACTGCAGACATTGATATTCTGAGGTGGGGATAAAGACTGTGAAGACTTGTTCTTTCTCCTCTAACCAGTACAATAAGACTTGTGTAAACTAAATCACTCTGGAGACCTTTCCCTGACACCCGTGAATTCAGACATTATCTGAAGGCCAAGGGAATACCTTCTGGTGTACGCAAGTCTACAGACTACATATATAACTCTTTTTTAAGAGCCAAGCAAAACATTCCAATTTTTACTACAACAGATACAAACCACATACATTTCTCTTCTTCTCCCTTTCATTAATTGATTTATAATATCACTTACGTTTCAAAACCCTTATTTATCAAATATTGTGATGAACAAGTTCAACCTGACAAAGTATCAAGACATTTTGTTTTTTCCAAATACCAAGGAAATATTGAAGACAAAGCCATTCAAGTAAAAAAACAAATGCTTCTACCCCTCATAAATATTATTTTAAATAAAGTAATAATATACAGCTGCAAAATCACCAACCTTCACATACTGTCCAACAAAGTCAGCCACTTCTGCTGTGAAGCAGCCCGATGCATCAACAGGACAAACAGGCACAGAATCTTTCTGAATGATATTAAAATCCATGCAGACTCTGTAATCATCCTGCAAAAAAGTACAAAGTTACAGAAATCTAAAACATGAGTTAAAATACTCATGCCTGGAAAGAGAAATTAAATATTAAATGCAATCACTGGACAAGAATAGCAAAATACTCGCTCATCACTATTCCAAAACATGCACAGGAAAAGCGAGATTTTTAAAGGATAGTACTTTTATTCATGACAAAGATGTCTTATTCTGGATACATGCACTTTCTCCCACAGTGTAGAGGGCACGTGTGCCTCTGTGCATATATCTAGACAAACACACACACAGGTAGTCAACAACTTCAGGCTATTACTGCACAGTAAGAGAACCGACAATTCTCTATGCCATACTATTATTCCAGACAATAAAGACTGCATAATGCACAAGCCTGGGTGGCATTTTTCATAAGGCAGGTAGTTTCAATCAATTGAATTCCTGAATTCGACATTAAAAATCCCATTTTCTCAACATTTTAGAAATATAATGTCTTTCAATGTATGCTTCTCAGTCTTTCTTGGCCTATACACAACAATGCTGAATAAACACCACATATGGACATCATCTCAAACTTAGCTTTAATTTTTGATTTCCTGTAACAGTAAAGCAGTTGCTTTAAACTTCTTTGAACAAAAGTAAGCAACACTGGAACTGCAGGAAGGAAAAGAGCTAAATAAAATTTTAAGGCAATAGAAAGGTTTAGATTTTGATTTTGAGTGATGAAGTCTGAGGTTAAGGTAAGTGCATGACTGCAAGTATGACTCCAGGGTTCCCACTTTGTTGCCCTGAAGGTGCTAGAACTTTACTGGGGGTCTGGGTGGGGGGCGATGAGCAGGGAAGCAGTAGCAGAACAACTGCGCTCAACATTCACACAATTGCTGCATTCACCTCAAAAAAAGGTCCTCAGTCTGCATTGAGCTAGGTGGCTTTTTGAACTTTAGATATTCTTATATTGCTGATTTGACCAGACAGGAAGAAAGACTTTGGGCACAAAAGCTGTACTTTTGGCTGTGTAAAATGGAAGCTGCTGTGACCTTGTCTGCCAAACCTGGCTGCAGCTGAACAGTCAGCCTCCTCCACGCTTAGGGCTCATTTACCTTTTGTAAAACAAGGACACAGCAGCTATTTGACAGAGTTGCACTCTAAAGCATTTTTTCCAGCTTGATCAAGAAGATCATTTAAGCAAGTGCTTAAATGTTTTGGTAGCAGAATTTTCCTTCCCTAAGTCTGACAAATAATGCTGATTACAACCTTCTGAATGGCAAAGCAGGGTTTCTAGACCCTCTCTGTGGTTGTAGCAATGGTAATTTCTCAATTACATGCTAGACCTAGCCCACACCACCCGCAGTTTCCAGTCCTTCCCCCCTCCTTCAAGCCGGATCTGGCAGACATTGCCAGCTGACCCACATTACACTCCACATGTCATCAAGACTCCTTTGCAGAGATAGCGAAGTTCGTTGTCACGAGTGCTAAGGCATTAGATGTAGAAATTAAAAACCACTTCAACTCAACTGCTCTTCAGACCACAACCCCTTCCCACTTCTCAGGCGCTGTGGGCAGCCACGGTGCCTATTAAGCCTCCCTTTGGTCAACCAGCTACTGCAGTCAACAGATGAACTGAGATAAGCCAGTCATCAGTCGAGTTTTCAGCAGCTATTAGTGCAGAGATACAGCAAGCAGATTGCAGTGCTAATATGTAGACCAGATGACAGGACTAGCATCAACCCTGATTAACAGCCTTTGAAGAAGCAGCCAGCATAGGGCACATCAAAGCCTGGCACACTGACAACTGAACTAAGCCATAATAACGTACCTTCTACTCCAGGGGACCTGGGTCAAGATGTGGGACTGTTTGATTTGCATTGCTGATGTGGTCAATGATATACGAAGGGCTCTACTATTTCCGCTTTCTACGATTAGTTTTTTTCTTTTGAAGAGCTCAAACTTAAAAATAAAAGTCTTCTAGACTGACCTGCCACTTGTTTTAATGAAGGTTTGCTTCAGTAAACACAAGTGAGAAATACATTCAGGCATGTATCTAAACCCACAACTGCTAAGTTCTACTGCTAAAAAAGACTAATTCCAGTTCTTTCTAGGACAGAAAACAGCATTCACTTCTGTAAGACTGTCACAATTGCACAGATCTTTCAAAAGATTACACACACACACACACTCACCACAGAATTATTGATACAAAAGTGATTGAGAGCTCATGGACAAGAATAACTCAAACCTTTTCTATTTGAAAAAATAAAAAGCGAGAAACTGAAGTGACTAGGTTGACTTGAGAGCTTTTATAACAAATTAGAGTATTTTTTCATTATTGGAAAGAATGCAACATGACTATGAAATTTCTGCGACTCACACTCAGAGCATTCACATCTAATAGGGCTTGATGAAAACTAAAATACTACTAAAATTAATTGCAGACAAACCATTCATATAAAGTGCCTTAGCTGCTGAGTTTTAGTGTCATATTAACCTGTAGATACAAAGGCTTTACAAAGAGGTTTGGGGTTATTTTTGAATGAGTTGTCTTGTTCTGTGAGCTTTCTTTTTCATTTTGATTTCTTTCCAACTGAAATAATTGCACGCTACCTGATATTGTGGGATAGCTTATATTTGGCAAAAGCTTGCATTATAAAAGGGACATCTTTTTATACCAATTTCCATCTCGATAAGGGAAATGAAACATTAAAATGGGTTCATCCTTCAGGAAAAATACATCAAAATGACACAAAAAGAATAGGGTATTTCATATGAATACAAAAAGGATGTACAATTAATGCCAGCAGTTTCTGGAAATAACGACAGAGCAACTGCTTCAGAGATCACCAATTGCTAGCAATTGGCAAGTCTCGAAATTTTTTTGAGGGCATTTTTTGATTATGGCTGAAGACAGGATCCTGTGACAAGGACAATGAGTCTGAATTACTGCTATGACACCAGTACCTAAGAACTGAGATGATAAAATCCATGAAAAGTTATTCCTCTCAACCTTCAAAAGAAGAGACAGAAGGAAAGGGCAACAGAGTATCTTAGTAGACAAAAAAAAAAGAACAGAGCACAACAAAATCCTTTTACACCAAGATATAAAGTCTCAGCACGAAAGACTCAGACTCTCTTCTGGCTTTCCAAATGCACAGAGTGTTGAAACAGAAGCTCTAAAGGAGCAATGTGCTGAGCACAGTTATCATCCAGAATTATGACTCAGCACAGCAAAGTTTCAGTAGCAGTGCAACAGGTCATTTCTTCTTAAAGATGTAAATTTAGGCTTTTAAAAAGCTAAGAGCAATGACATTCAGAAGATATCGTGTGGAGTTCACTTCACACATGACAAGAACAACCAAAACAACAGACACCTAATGTCTCTAATGTAGCACACAAGACAAGAGCACATACAAAAGAAGTGGCTATGGAAATACAATTCTGTATTTTATATATATATTTATATAATTTTTAATATCCCTGTCACCTTGACACATAGTTCACAGTAGCATAAAAGACTTGAGAAGAAAATTAGCATAATAAGTATATAGTTCATACTCACAGCACCAAAATAGGGGGCCTGATGTACAACACCTGTGCCTTCCTCCTCCTTCACATAACTGTCTACCACCACGGTAAAAGCGCCATTATCTTTGCACTGTAACACAAAAAGATGCATTCTGAGAACACAGAGGAGCTACATACAATTGTCCATCTTCAAGAGTCATTAGCTGCATTAGAAATAAATTACACACATTAGAGAGTGATAAACCTAATGTTATGTAACCGTTTCCCATAGCTGAGGCACCCAGGTTGTCTGTGTCATTTAAATGGCATCAATTACATTTAAACCTAAGACCTCCTTAGGAAGCCTCCTGGAGTCAGCTAATCTTCAAGCCTGGAATCAACACATGGTTCAGCGTTTAACAAAATACAAATCAAAAGGCTCCTATAAATGAGGATATAATCAAGTTGCAGGCATTCTATACTAAGAGTTCTTTATGTCTACCATACCTTCCAATTACTTTTAGATTTCCTTTATTTCCTCCAGAGAAGAAGATGGTAAGTATCAAATAAAAGAGAAAAAAAAGAAAGAAAAAGGAAGAACTAATCTGAAAAACTGCAGTGTGTTTAGTATGGACATTATTAGGAACAAGAAGCTATTTTCTGTTGCTCAATTAATACAAAAGTAGCAAGAATTATTGCAAGCAATCACAGTCAAATCAGATTTGTTACAGAATATCAGATTTGACTTCTTCTGAAGAGAAAGATTTTGAAAATAAAAAATACATTCTGAGAAAAAGCATATGCCAATCAGCTCCTCTACAGTATTCCAAAAAAATTGTCATGTATTCCCAGCCATTACACAAGCAGTCTAGCTTACTGGATTCAGCTACCTGTTTGACCTTCTTCTAGAAATCGTAGGTTCTGCTTCCTATACAGGTGACTGCAAATGAATAAATCCCCAGATGCTTGGCTAGCACTACTGTAATCCATTTAAAGTCTTGGAATAAACTGATTTTCTAAATATATATATATATACTTAAATACATCATTTTGTTACCTCTTCTCTTATTATGCTTATTTTAATATCATCTGCATTGCTATCATTAACTACGCTAGATTTATGCAGCAGTTAATTGCTGCACAGAATGATATCCATAAAGACCAGAAACACTAACATTTATTCTAGCAAAAGCCTTTAATTCTTTGATAATCACAGACTTGCAGTCTTTTCCCTTGTCCACAGTCAAGTCCTTCTCCTAATTTGTGCACTTAAAAAGCAGAAGACAAGCTCATCAGACAAAAAGTTGAAAGAACAATGTCTATTTATTTATGTTTGGGGAAAATTTCCCTGTAACCTGAAGTCCTGAAGTCATGCCAGTGTTCATCATTGAATTCTTACTCTGGATACATCTAAGAGAAAGGCAGGCAGACAGAAACAAACAAACAAAACCCCCACACAGCCAACCATCTGTTTAACCTTTCACTACGAGTTAAAAGCTACCTTAACACAGCATAAGATTTGTTATTAGAAACATGATTTAAGATATATACACACACTACACATATATATGTATAATATATATGGATAGTAGTATAGTATATATGTATACATAGAATATATATATAGTATATACACTATATATGTGCATGTGTGTTATCACATATACACACACATATATACATGCACACGTAACAAGAAATACAGAGTTGGTTCTACTTCTGTATTTGTATCCTATGTCTAAACACCAAACTGAATTAACTTACCTTAATAAAATATTCAAAGAGTGGTTTATATTTCTTGCCTTTAAGAGCAATGCCAGGAAACCTAAAGAGAAGGACACACAAATTAACAACTGGCCAATTGCTTAGTTAGAACACTGTTTTTCCTATTCTCCTTTTCCCCCTCTGTAACAGCATTTTACTTCATCAGGTTAAAAGAGTATTTTCTAAAGTGGTTTTGTCCATTTTTATACCTCAGAACTCAAAAGTAAGATGAAAAACCTAACATGCTAATGCATCTCTAGTAACAGCCAATGGGTGTATCATATCTTTCAATCAAGCAACCATTTTAAATTAAATACATACACAAAGCATTAATAAAATATATTTGTGGTAAAGTTGAACTAGGAGCTTCAGGATTTAAAAAATGTAATTTCCAGTGGAGCTATTTCTTATAGCTCGGTATGTTCAAAAGAATTCAGCACAAAGGATCGTGACATTGGGTATTACGGCATCTAAAGCTTGGGTCATTTCTTGTCCTGAAACTAGGAATCTAAACTCTCCACAGATGACTGGGGTGTCACATATGCCTAACCATTCTGAGAATAAAAATGAAGATATGGAGGTTGGCCCTTCTTAAGTTGTGTTCTAACTAGGTTGCTGGTGGGGGATGTTGTGTGTCAGTGTCATGTTTCTTTTAAACGGAAGATTAAAGCACTTGGAGATACAGAACACCTAAAGAGTGTCAGACAGGCTATATCTCTGTTTAAGTTTCTGAAGTTATGAAGCTTCAAACTGCTTGGTAAAAAGAGGTATACATTTAACACATAGTAGCTATCCAATCTGAAATTAAGTATTTCATTATTTTCCACTGAGCAAAGATGAATAAGCAGTCTTCAAGAAGCAATAAATGCAACTAGCTAGTTAAACTGGGTAGTCAAACAGAGAAACCACATTTGCTTGCTGGAGACGATGTTTTGTTTTTCTTTCCTATTTCCTCCTAAATGCTTTGAAAATGCTCAGAAAACATTCTACATTTGGAATAACATGTCTAGTTTTCAGACCTTTTCAACATTTTCTGAACAACAACAAAAATATGCCACACACACCTTATGCTTTATCTGAAGCTTTGTTTTATCAAAGATCGTAAGTTTCAATTCTTTTTACAGATTTTTGGAAGACATAAACAAAAAGAATCACCATACATGGAAAGTCATCTTCACGTAACTGCAAAACGCACCTTCTCAAAACATTTCATTTCTGATGGATAGAAATACAGGAAGTTAACAGATGTACAGTAATTTATGTACTTGCCTGTCAAGTACCTCATATTCAGTGTCAGATTTGTACAGGGCTATCAGCCTGGCTTCCATCAATATGTAGATCTTTCCTGTGGCGTTATCTAAAATATAAATAAAACAAAGTTGCCTAAATCTAAATTTAATACCCCAATTTGCACCACTGCACTTTTCAATTCATGCAAGATGATATCACATTAGCTATAACACTACTCAGAATAATCCTGCTGATAAATGAGAATTTATTTACCTGGGATTTCTTCCCCCACAAAAATCCTACGGGCATTCTATATAAACAGTATACAAAAGTTAAGTGCAAACAGATACCATAGGATCAAATCCAGTGCCTTGATATTCAGCATTTTTTTAATGTTCAAATGCCATAACTGCCTTATTTTGACTACTAACGTGTATCCAAAGAAAAGCAATTCAGAAGTTTCACCCAGAATAATCAAATAAGAAAACAATTCAAAAAGTTATAATAAAATGGATAGTTATCACATAAATTAACTAAGTTGACACCTGTTTTAATGCCTGCCCTCCCTTTTGTTCCCTGTGATATAATATTTCCTTCTTTTTTATGGTTGGCTCTCTTTTTTAAGAGAAATTAGTACAAAAGTAACATGTTAGAAAGAAAAGCCTTTTTCTACCTCCCTCATCTCTTCACTTCAACCACGAATAGTATTCAGACCCTACTCTATCAATTTCAGGATCTCTTATGAGCACGTTTGTGTACGGGCTACCTAATGACAACCTTCCTCACATCAGCTTCATATTTGCATTTGCTCATTATCACAGACCACCAGTTGGCTACCAAGACACTATGCTCTTATTTCCTCCTATAAATAGTGGAGCTAAAATATATTGTCATGACAAAAATGAGCAGTTTTGAAAAATGCTAGTGGCATTTTGAGAACATTAAACAAATTATTAAAACAGGGAAGAGAATTCTACGGATGGGTTAAGCAAACCTCATGCAACAAACCAGTAAGCACAAAATCTGCTCAAGCAGTAACTAGTTTACATGCACCATATTCTAGGAATCTAAGAATAGTTACATCAAGGTAACACCCCTTAAATCATTTCATATATAAACTCTATGAATGCTTAGAGGCACCCTAACTTCCATTTTCCTTTGGTCACCAGTCAATCTCAGAATAAAGGAAAAAGAAAAACTCAAACTCCTCAACAGCTCTTTTTTTTTTTTCCCCCTCAAATCTAAACTAAATGCTGTAGTTAACTTGAATCTCCATTTTTACTTACTTATAGTACAAAGCCAGAGCAGGTCAGGAGTTTGGAAGAACATGAAAATAACAATAACAATGCAGGAAGTATTTTTTTTTCCAAATTCCTATTTCTTTATATATATATTTAACTAAATACAGACATATGTGTGCGTGTGTGTGCCTCCCAAGTGAAAATGAAGACGACATAATATACTCCTTTGCCAATTAAAAGACTGGGTCTGCAAACCCTGGAAAACTATTTTAAACAGTAATAAAAGAAAAAGTCTTTTTTTTTTTTTTTTTTTTTTAGGCACCCCATGTGGCTATATACATTTCTTCAGCTGGAGACTCATGAGAGCTCACCTTGCTGCATCACTTACAGTGCTATTGACATATTTGGGCACATGTACTCTTGCACTGGAAATCACTTTGGAATTATTTGGGACTTACACTACGGTGTGAATAAATACATTTTGTCAGCTGGAGACAGACATGAAACACTGTGTCAAGAGCATAAAGCTGCTCAGTTACTTAACCAAACTGCCACACAGCACTTACCTGCTCGTGGGTCTTGAGCCTTTCCTTCCCCCGCAAAAAAGTCATGGGCAGCTAAAGTCACATTATTTTGCAGACACAGAGAAGCGCGTCTCAAAAAGCAGTTACAAGAGCTGCTCTTGCTCATTATATTATGCAACAATTCTTAAACGCAGGTAACACAGGTTAAAAAAAAAAAAAAAAAAAAAAAAGGGAGGGGCGGGGGAGAAAAAGCTGCAGTACAGCGAGGATCTCATCCTGTAGAATAATACTTAATCCAACCCCAGCAAAATCCTGGACACTTAGCATAAAACAATCTATCAAATAAAAGAACAAAAGCACATCAACACAGGTACCATAATAAAAAGCATTCATTATATTTCACCTTATGTTAACACTTGCCTCTCAATTTTATATATTGTAATTCTGGATTAACACAAAGGGCCAGATTACTAGGTAAAGTCCAAGGAGTTGTGGTCCAAGCAACTAGAGATGCACTTTCATCTTCATCCAGTGGGAAGCTCACAATCACAGAAGGATCTTGAACATCCTTAAATTAGACAGAACAAAGTCAAAGGAAACAAACCAGAAAAGAGCCCAGGAGTTTGCTGTGTGTATTAATATTTCTTTGATTTGTGCTCTCTCATTGAGTTACTGTCATACATGATACCAGTGCAAGCTGTCGGTCTGACAGGGCCACAGTTTATTTTTAGAAAGTTAGGATTAAGGATGAAATTTTGGGGAATTAGATGCCCAAAACCAGAGAAATGGGTGCCAGTTCCCTCAGGTATCTCTTATTAACCCCATTCTAAAAAGTGAAAATAACCTAAACTGACAAGAGATCAGCAGCAATTCCTCAGCTACTGCTGCACAAAGCTTTTTCCTGTCTTTCCTCCAGGGAGGAGGAAGAATAGCTGTCCCTTAAAGATGCATTCTGTTCATAAAAAAATATTGTTAGTGCAATCCTTTAGTAAGAAACAATAGTTAACGACAAAAAATAGGAGGTCTGGGTAATTAGAGTATATCAGTATTTAAAACAGCAAAGGATCTGGGAAGGAGATCTTCATTAGCTACCCTGTAAAATCTTACCTCTGAACACGCCTAAAAGAACTCCTTTAAGCAAGTACAACCCTATTCAGTCTTTTCAAATACTATAAAAAACAGATTCAGAAAGGAAATCTAGTTTTGCAAATGTGGAAGCTCCAAATTAAGAATTTTTCACCTAAATTAAGAATTTTTTACACCTAACAAAAATGACTATCTCATACATAAAGGCTGAACACCCAAATAGGTTACCTTGGCATTTCATAGTACAAGGCGCTTTGGTTTCAGTCCAGCATCATGCAACAGTTAATTGCATCATGGAACAAGCAGCTATTTATGTCTGAGCTAAGGGCTGTTCCAGAGGGAATATTCTGTGAACATCTGGTGCAGTCAACAGTAAAAACATAAATATTACATAACTCTTGAACTGTGCTCAATGCCAAGGGAAGATTAACCCATCACTGCAATTCTGTCTCTACCAGTTACTACACGACAGTGCTTCATTTTGAAGCACTAACTTGACCAGGTAGAGAAAAAAAAAAAATCTGGAAAATCATAAAAATTAACACCTCTGGACCACCAAACAACATAGCTGTTCAAGTTATCTGCTCACACAGTTACACTTGCCTCAATTTGAAGACTATATCTCTTCAGTAATAAGATGTGGCACAGATTTCTCAACTTTAGACATCTAATTCAGTTTCTTAACATGCTCCTTTAATGTGTCTTATTCCCCATATGATCAGCAAACAGAAGTCAAAGCCTGCTTTTTACATCTAGAAAACTAACAGCTCCCTTACGCTCATAACTGGCCTTGCCAAGAATAAATGTTATTAGCTCACAAACCCTTATATCTCTTCTCCAAAATACCACCTCTGAAAAACAAAAAGACAACTTCTGCATCAAATGCTACAAGAGTAAATATCTCTACCAGTTCTAAAATAAGAAATAGTATCAAAATATTTTATAAAAGATTTAAAAGGGGAAGAGAGCTTTATTTCATGAAAAAAGATGCATAAAAAAGCAACCTTTTTGGTTTAAAGAAAGTTCAGTAGTTTGAGTCTATATGAAGTGCCAGTTAATAAATACAAGCCAAGGAGTTATTTCAGCTGTGCCTTTTCAAAGGGGTCACGAGCATCAAGATATCTTTGTCCCACTTTTCTAAATCACAAAAACACTGTTTATTTTTCAGTCAAGTATCTGTCAGCAATATAAAAAGCTCTGTATCTGTGGACTGCATTCTATTACAAGTCTATTTAAATATTTATTTTTAAAAATACCAGTTTTAACATATTAACCTTTGCTAAGCACAACATGAAAAGGACCAGATGTGCAATTTGTGCTAACTTTCTGCCATAACAAAAGCAGAAGATTTACAACATAGAGGACTGAATAGGGACTGGAAAGGATACAAACCTTCTGTCCACTAACGCAAATTTTGGAAGATTGAGGCACAAGATCTGCCTTCTCAAGTTTTAACACAACTCTGCTGCAAATGAGAAGCTGCATCCAGTTGTTCATTATTTGGAGATCATCTTATAATTCATGCTATTCTATTTTTTATACTTATAGTCTTTAGGAAACGTCTTACCTAAAATATTTACAACTGAAATCAGTGATTCTTAGAAGAGCTATTACTACACCACTTTGCTACAACCAAACACAACCTTGAACAACGCCTGGTTATCCCCTCACAAGAAACTTCAACTTTGTTGAAGATCACGTTTGTGCAGATCCGCACAAAAATGGACAACTGCAGCTCTCTTAATAGATATTTACCATGAAAACCAACAGTGCAATGCTCCTCTTAGGAGCCTAGAGAAGAAACAAGAGCAATTAACTAGAATAAAGCAAACTATAATTATACATCTGTAACTAGTGATCAAAAAGAACGGGGAAGGAGGGTGAGATGAACTGATGCAAACAAACAGCAAAACATAATAAAAAGTAGCTGATTTATCTAAATTTTTCCTGTCAGCTTGGAGTGTACAACGATGCTTCTACCAAGCACAAAGTAGGAGAGTCTTCCAAACCCAAATACAAGAAAGTAGAGGAATCTGTTAAGCATAATGCATGTGTACACTGACGTACCTTGTAATTCTGATGAGACTCGAAGTTTGATAGTGGAGTGTTGCATGCAGTTGAAAAAGGCATGACTTTAACCCCTCTGTACACCAGGCCTTTGTCATATAGCTGCTTGAAAACCCACCTGGAAGTAAACAGGAACACAGAATAGCACTTGGGGTTTCAAACTCAATAAACCAATTGCAAAGCAAGGACCTGTTCTGTATTGTTTGTTTTTAAGCTATCAATGATCAAGTAAGGACAACATCTGTAAGTCAAGAGGGAAAACATTCAAATAATCAGCACATACAGAGAATAACAATCTTACACTAGTGTTCATTTTTAGCTCGGTTCTTATAAAATGAATGTGATCACTTTTCTCGTTAATTTTTAGCATTAGGGGATTCTGCAGTTTGATTTTCCATGCACTAACTGAACAGCACAGAACAATATGTAGGTGAAACAAATCAATATTGCTGATCAATCCTCAAATTGTTTAGGTACAAGGAAAAAGAAAATCTTTAATTTAAATAACAAGGCTAAAGTTAGCCATAATTTAAAGAAAAGACAGAAATATATAGAGATACAGGTGCTTACTTATCACACTACCTGGAGGACAAGTTCCAGCAACCAGTGCTAAAAAGGGAAAGGGACGGACTAGAGATACTTGGCACTCGACTCAGGGCATACCCATGCCTCAATCTGAAGAGCATTTCTGCACAAGAGGGCACAGCTAAGCACGCAAAACAAGAATCCGGACTCAGTTCTCATCCAAGATCAGATTCTTGCATCAAGCTTTAATTCTATTTACGCAATCTTCAGCACAGCATGTACTATCTTTGAATCCTAATCTCTCCTTGAAATTATCAGCACAGTGTATTATATTACAGTATGACAGATGTTCACAGTGAACAGTAGCATAAAGTGATATGTAGTTTACGCAGCAAACACTGCAGCAGTCAGATACAGAGAAATGTTGGGGTTTGCCCATCACATGGTCATCTGATGACCTGCTAAAACATCATCTACCACCACATTGTGACCTTTCACCAAAGGCAATCAATCAGACTTGTACTGTCAGTACTATAGAACCCAGGTTGGCTACCCTGAAGAAAAAGGTGGGAGAAATAAGCCTTAAATAACCATACCAAAAGTTGACTGAATTTCATGTTCTGCAGAGTCTGGTCATTTCAAAATGCATAGGCAAATTGTTAAATACCACTTGTGTTAAAACCCTTTTTTACTCCAAATATGGTTTTAAACCATCCTGTTTGCTTTTCTGTGTCCCCTTCCAGATAAGCAGCTCATTGGTAGGCAAACAACCCCATCCTGGCAAGCAGCACTTTTCTGCAGGCTGTCATTTTGTGCTCGAGAGCCAGGCCTATACTTGAGTGTCTTGTCTTTTACTTTTGAACGCCTAATCTTCAAGGCACGAAATGAAAGCAGACCATTACACTGATATCTATCTGCAGCCTGAGACGCAACAGCAGAAGATAAGCACTGGCTGCTGTCATGGAAAGTCACACAGTATCTTAATTGGAATGGCTGTAGATCAGACAGCTGGCAAAAATGCAGACATTCAGTCTACTGAAGCTCATCAATGGACCTTTGATTAAATCCAAAATTTCCTAGGAGCAGTCACTGACTTGAGAAAGTTACATAATCAGAGACCGGTCTCAGAGGGATAAAGTGCAAGAGGCTCCAACAGCAGCAAGTTCTGCACAGAGGGGCCAAACCCAGAGGCCTTGCAGAGCTGTGCACTCTAATGAAGGTGGCTTATTTTGCAGGCAGAAGCTAGAGGTACCACTGATGAAGTACTAAGTGTGACTGCTGCCAAGCTGTGGTTGCCTGACCCCAACCCAAACTCAAAACATAGCAATGATTGTATCTCAGTTATTACAACAGGGACTATATTCACTTAAATCTACATAAATCCATATTTTATTGAAAAAATAAAACAATGATTAGTGAATATGACTTCATCAACTTTCAGCATATCCATGTCAGCAGACTAATGAAAGTTAATAAAAACATATTTTAAATGTACACTTACCAACTCAATATAAGAACACAGACCATAACACTGATGGCATCCACAGTGAAGTTGTTCAACTTTTTTCAAAGACCATTAATTAAAATATCTTTAGACAAGAAAGCTCCAGTGTCTCGGCTTTCTAAAGAACACTGCCTACTGTCAGTGTAGAAGGAAACTACTCAATGAAACAGTGAATATTTGGCTATAAATATAACTGCAAATTTCAGAAAAGGGAACCACTAGATGGAGCTACCAAGATAAAATTCCAAGCCAGCATCTCCCTCTTGTGGTAATTCCACCCTACTTCAAAGCAAGAACTCCCAGTTTTTCCCACTGCTGAGCAAACAGATAAGCTTTCAAAACACTTCTGAGCTCTCCTTGCATTTTATAATTACTACCCATTTGTATTTTATCATCGTAACTGCTGCCTTCAGGAAACCACTGCAACATAATAATGAGAATTATAATCAAGTCAAAAGAAGCCCGCTTCAGAGAAACTGGTTCATTAGGAAAAATAAAAAAGGAGGAGGGCCAGGGGGCAGACATCCGAGATAAGTTCCTGCACAGCACCAGAGGGGTACGGAGAACAACTCTCAAAGACCTTTCTGCTAGCAGCATTGCCCACCTAAAAAACAAAGCAATTGCCAAATATTAACCTATTTCTAGCAGTAAGAGTCACTTGACTGTCTACAGATGGATATCTTGCTTAGTGTAACAGTTCAACATATGAGACTTTGGAAAATGGCCTCCTAAAACCTGCTGAAATTTCTATGCTTGGAAAGCTTTGAAAATTTCCGGGGAAAAAAAAAAAAAAAAGATTCTGAGCTTGTAAGCCAAACATAAACCGCAAGTCTTTCTGAAAAGATAAATAATAAAACCACAAAAGCCCTTTCTCGCTATTTATATTGATAAATAGAAAAAAGTTTAATTTCTAATTTTTCTTTTCTGTAAAGTGACCCAAATCACATTGGCATAATGTGAACACCACAAGGATATTAATAAAACTCCTAGGGTGTTTCTGTTTCCAAAGGATACCAAAAAGATGCTAGAGTAGCATCCTCTATTAGATGCTAAATCAGGCTGCCCTCTTCACATGTGTATATTCACTTCAAAGAGGAGGATTTAATTTTAAAGCTTCCAAAGTTCTTAATTCTCTACTCTTAGGGTATCGAGTGATTTTAGATTTGGCACTCTTCAGAGTGGCTCAATATTTAAGAATTTGCTCAGGGTCTGCAAACTCCTAACTTTCAAGAAAATGAAAATCCTTCCTAATATCAGAAAATAATTCTTTAACTCACATGAGGGGCTTAAAAAACGAATTGCAAACTTGATTACTACTGTTACTAATTACAAAACTCAAGATAAGGTTAGGAAAACACCAGAGAAGAGAATCTGGAAGTGAAGCGTGTCTGCACTGTCGTGAAGACTTGCTGACATTTGCTGAAGATCAGGCACCCCAAGCTTTGCACTGAGTTAAAAATTCCTCCATGTTGCGAATGCAGCTGGTGCACTGGACACTAGATGGTGCCGAGAAGCTACGCAAACGGGGGCTGCCGCTGGGCACAGGGAGCAAACCCCTCGGCTCCGCTTCCACCCTCAGCACAACGCAGCAGAGCGCCCCGCGGCCTCCAGATGCAGCTCTCAGCTGGCCTCAGAACTGCAGACAAGCAGCCATAGGTAGAGACCATTGTAAAAATCATTTAGATGATGAGCAGATATCCAAGTTCTACATCATTAAAACTTAAAAGATCAACCCCAAGTGTTTTAAAAACAGGCAGAACCCACGATACCCATCACGTATTGCTGCTTAATACTGCACATGAATACTTCAGTACTACAGGCACTAAGCACCAACGCTCTCCTGAAGGGAAACTGCCAAAATGCTGTGGCTTTTGATCCATAACAGAATGAAGTTTTGTTCTCAGCCAAGATTTACCAGACCAAACTTGCATTATAGTTTAGTCAGTCACCATGTTGCACAGAGCCAAAATACCGCAAAAGCCGCCATTTTCAACAAACTCCATTATAAAATATTAAAAAAAGTTCTCTAGCAGCCTTGACTTGTACAATAGCTGCAGAACAGGACAATATTAATATATTTCTGATGTCTGAAGCCTAAACTATTTCAAGGCTAAAAAACATAATATGATAGCCACTGCTAGAAACATCATCAATATACAAGAAAGATGTTAGACAGTTCAATACAGTCACCAGATTACAGTCACTGAAGAAGTTAATTTGCAGTTTTGTCTTCTTACTTACCTGGACGTTAAAATGTTGCAGCTTAAATTTAAATTAAAAGAATAAGAAAAGGTATTCAAAAATAGAAAAATAAGGAAATTCTAAGAGAAATACCCCAGATCACCATCAAAATAAACACTTCTAATGGATATAAACTTTATGTAGCTTTAGGAACAGGGGGAGATTTTCAGTGTGATGATAGCCTAGATAATTTGATTTCTTGGGCAGCCAGGATAAGAGTGCTAAGAGCAACAAGAAGGTAGAAATGTAACATCATTTCTTAAAGAGAGCAAATAAAGTATTATGAGATGAGCAGAACTGTTTTTAAGTTGACACAGAATAGTAAGACTTCAGGGTAGAATAAGACACGTTTGCCCATATTTTTCTAAATCAAAACAAAACATCCTGCTATTTCCCTATTATTTCACATCACCTTTCAATAAACAGTGGACAAAACACTTAATTAGGCACACTCTAAAATAATTCTAGTGATGCAGGATCAATATATGTCGGCAATAACTGAAATATTTTTAACATTTAACATTTTCAACTAAATTGATAAAGCATATGCAATGTATTTAAGTTAACTTACCACACAGATTCCATGAACTCAGGATAAAGAGTTTTATAGTCATTTTCAAAGTCAATCCAGCGTCCTAACCTGGTAACATTGAACTGTTAAGAAACAAATAAAGTGGCTTGAAAGACATCCTAATATAAAAAAATCACGGTGCATTTCCAATATTTATCCTACAACAACAGCTTGAGTTAAAGAGAACAGTGTTTGCACCACATCACTGAAATGGATCTATGTTTAAGCCTGACGAGTTTAAACTAGCATCTTTAAGCAGACAAAAATAAGCAAAGGAAGTCACGAACATACAATAAAATGTAGATCACATAAATGTGTACAACACTACTAAATAGAAATGGCGGAGCAAAGACAATTTCTTAGAGTTCAGCTGAAGTTCAACAGCCTGAAATTTGCTTGTGATTGCTGTGGCCTTATTTTCTATTTTTAAACCTACTGGTCAAAGACAGTCAAAATCCAGAGCACAGAACAGCATACCAACTCGGCTAAAACTCACTTGGAAAGCTAATCTGGTTTATATCAGAACACAATCAAAGCTGAAGACAAAGAAATACTGGGAGAATTTGGTACATTATGACAATGTATGAAAGTTATTTCAGGGCAAACTACCTTGTTTGACTTCTCAGAGATATGAACTGAACTGACAGGTGTTTGTCCCTATCCAAGGATAGCTTATATTTATGCCCATTGGCACTGAATATGAAAACTAATGAGTTAGCTATGCAATTCCCTTGGACAAGTGGTACTCTCTTGCTAATTTTCCAACTATAGGAACTGTCAGCTCTGCAAATAACCAAGCCTGGAGGCACCTGTCCTGATATAGTTACACGTAGAGCAACTAGACAGTCAAACTACTAAACTGAGAACGAAACAAGTGAGTTCTTCTGTCTCAATATTCTCACACAGTTGCCGAGCTCCTGAGATGCATCAGTTGTGCTCCTGTCCTTTCAGTCACTCTGGTATTCTACTATTAAGATCTCAATAGCTGTACTAATCACTAGTAGCAGTTAAGAACTTAGGTTATTCCATTTGGTCTCAGAATTAAGAAGTCTCATGCATTCAAGATACATGCACACATATGTTAGTCACTCCAGAGAGAAAACAGACACCACTTCCAAAAGGAATGCCAGAACTCCCTCCTAACACAATCCCAAAATATTTGAATTTATTACTGCCAAGTCACAAACCAGATACTGAAACAAATTTCGTTTATACTCTGAAACCTATTTCAAAGCAATTACTCGCTTTTTGAGAATTAAGAGATTTTTTCTTTGCTTTAAAAATGTTTTAAAAGGTTAAACTTTTGGTTAATATTTTGCTTTCTGTACCTGCTAACTTTAATTTACTATGCTTTTAGTACCTGGTATTTCACAGTGCTGGCTTGCCCACTATTAGTAGCCAGTATTCATATTTTAATTAGTAATCCAAAATGCATGGAAACATACACATAAACACACAAACAAAATCTATTCACCATCAAAAGATTAAGTTCTGCTGTGGGTTCCTCCAGATACATATACAGCCATTTTACTTACCTCCCACTCTTTAGAGTATCTCATCACAATTCCTCTGCACTGGGCATTGTATTCAGCAATCCCCATCTTCGCCACATCCTCCGGTCCCTTGATGCCTAAGGTTTTGTCGATTTCATACTCCTGAGAGCATTAAAAACCAACAACAACAACAACATCAAAAACTTCCAGTATTTCTCCAGATAGTTTCTTTGCATTTCTCTGCATTCTCACATCAAAGCCAAATGGCCTCCTTAACCCTTTTGAAATTTTATGAGCTTTGCACCTGAAATAAGGAGAGGTTTCAAAGGAAAATCCTGGTATACTATCAAACAAACTGAACACCCACTACTTGAAACACATTTTGATGAAACAGACAGTTAAAGTAGTGGATAGAGTAAGTGAGTAGGGCACATGATCAGTAGGAAGCATCTGAAATCACTACATACAAAGAGCAACATAGTGGGTGAAGAACTTGCAATTTTCCTTTCAGCAGAGAATGCACACGTAAGAAGAGAAACATGACTGATGAGTACATAACAAAATGGAAAGAGGAAGCAACAGAAATATTTGTAGGTCAATTTTTTCACATACCACAGGTAAACCATGGCAATCCCATCCAAATCTTCTGTCGACATGAAAACCACTCTGATGGGCGAATCTGGTTACTATGTCTTTAACAGTTCCTGCAAGAATATGTCCGTAGTGTGGAAGCCCGGTAGCAAATGGTGGGCCATCATAGAAGTTAAACCTAACGTACAGGAAAACATTCTTAATTAAAATTAAGCATCAAATCCTCAAAAATGATAGGTACATCTGTGCACCTGCGGTTCTCATATCTTGCTCGAATAACATCAATTTCTTCCTCTATCAGTCAGCACAGGCGTCACCTTGGCACAAGTGTCATGGGAATAAAAGGAATATTTCAACCCGCAGAGTTCCTGCTAGCAAGTTCTGGCAAGATTTTATGGAAGTTCACCATAACACTACTAGGCCACTTTAGCCTTAAGTGGAAGTGCATGAACTGGGTATAGCTGAGGCAAAACAAACCACTAACAGAATGAAAAAGTCAAACCGAACACTACAACTTACACATACCACTTCTCCTGAACTGCTCAAAATGCCAGCTCGCTGCTCCATAATTTACAAACCAAGGTAAGAGCTGCTCTTTCTTAACTGCAAGTTTTTTCATAAACCCACCAACCAGGAAATGAGTTTTGTTGTGACTGTTCCTACACTTTTTAAGACTTTATGAAGGGAAATATAAATAGCAACTGATATGATGGCAACATTAGCCAAGGCTGCTACTTACAAAGCAAACAGCAGTTATCTAACCTAAGAGGAAGGCCAAAACACACACACACACCACCAAAATCTTGAATTGTTACAAACAATTGCTGGAACTTTCATCAGATTCTTACCTAGGTCTGTTCTTTGATTGCTTCAGGCATTACTGGAAGCAATAAATATTCTTCCAGAGCTGCAAGATCTTCTCTTCTTCATTTGGAAAGCTTATGTTTTCTGGAACTTGATGAACCATTCTTTCCCACAGCAACAACCGAACAGAAAGAGGAGAAAGAAAAAAAAAAGACTGAACGGAAGTGAGAAAAATCAGAATGCAACTTAGTATCCTACAGTTCCATGTCACCAAGTCACATCCTATTCTTTTAGGGAGCCTATTTCAGTACAGCATGGAAGCAAGCATCACATCCTTAAACAAAAGCACATACACCATAGAAATCTGCTATCTTAACACTTGAGGCAATAGAAGAGTGTTCCCCACAATAAAATTTAAGCGGAAAAAATCCTCTTCTACTTTTTTCATGTTAACCATGTCATTTGCCCCCACTAATAACCCCAAATTATCAAAAAATACAAGAAATTCACTATTTGCTACACAGGTGAGGTGGCAGAAGGGAGAGAATCATGGTCTGACATGAAACAGCACAGAAAAGGTGTACTGGTGTATTCTTAGAAAAATAATAACTAGTCCCAACACAGAAAGCCACAGTACACTATCTGTGCAAGAGTCCCCATCACTACATTCAAAGCACTCAAGATAGCACTAATTAGGCCTGTACCATTTCTCATTGCTAACAACTCTAAGGTCACAGGACAGAGACAACTGAGCTGACAAAAAAATTCAGCCCTCAAGTTTATTTACCAGAAGCCAGCCAGTATACTCGCTCATTTCTCCTAATCATAAATAAATAAATAGGACTAAAGATCTGCACATCTTTCCTACCACGAATCCATATTTCACAATTCAGCTAATCCACAGCTGTAAACTCCCCAAAATCTGGCAGATTAAATACATATTTAAGTTTTGGTCTGTGACTGTGACCGGGCTATGGAGGCTGCTCATGTATCACAGATTCCATGCGTAAAACCACAGTGTCACTTTTGGCCCATTTCTACTAACTGAAGCACTGCACACAGAAACCAGTGTTCAGCAACCACAGGGCACAAATTCATGCATATTCTTTCCAAACACAGAATAGAAGAATGTCAGAAATGAGAAAACAAAAATAATTATGAGACTTAATACATACCAGCTGATTGTCACAGGTCATTTTTTTTGAAGTTACAAAACAGAATAACAAAAAAGGCAAGACAAGTTCAGAGCTCATCTATATCTCAGCCATAGCTGAGGAAAAAGTGAGATGAAGAAACACGTTCAGGCAAACCATAACCAGTTTCTGTACTGATGCATGAATAATTTGGCATATCCACAACAGACAGAGTTCACTACAATCAATTCAAGTATTTTGAAAAAGAATCACAAACAACTTATCATTTGAGCTCAGCAAGTGAAAACATGAGAAATTAAACATTGTACAAATGTAGCTGATGAGATAACATTTCCACACAAGACTCCACTTTATTTAGTGAACACAAAGATTTTTTTGGTCAGGCAAAGAGAAGTCTCTCTGCTCATATTCTGTTGAGAAAAAGTATTTGAGCTTAAGGCAATGCACTTTTGGAGAATATTTGTGTTTTTTAACAACACTCACTTTTTCTAAAAGACAGTAACATCCAATAAGAAAGTCGTCAAATTTCACAGGCTGAATTACAGTCTTGCACTAATGCTGACTTTCTTGTCTAGAAGAAAAAAATGCAAAAGTGATTAAAATCATGAAAGCAAGTTGCAATATGTTTTAGCAAGTTAACAATGAAGTGAACCCATATTTCAAAATTGCAGAAAACTTAACATGTGGTACATGTGTGGGGACTGTTCAAAAGGAAATTGGATTACAAAATACTAATTTCGTTCGTTGAAAACCAGAAAAGACTAAGCAGCAATATGAACTAAAAGTGTACCTAATAGTAGCACGATGAGCAGTAAAAAGCAAATGCGTACACCATACTATATACAAAAGATCCTTCAGGACCTAACAACCAGGGTGATATGATCCGGAGTTCCAGGCCTCAGAAGGTTTACAGGGAGTCTCAGAATCATTTCACAAATTCTTCTTTGTCTTAGTCTGTATAAGACCTAGGTAAACAGGAATTTTCTTCTCCAAAGGCTGGGAAGAGTCTCTGTTCCCCACCTGCATGTACCCTCCCAAAAGGCAACACGACAGTCTTTCGCACACAAAATCACACTTCCTATTTCTGCCTTTTTTTAGGCACTGAGCTTTAATGCACAACAGCTTCTGGAATAGGGACATTTTGAGATTATCATCTTATAGTCCTGGGGCAAACCTTTCTAGAGCAGATAGAAACAATGAAGCTACATAAATAAACAAAGACATACTTTAAAACCTAACATAGGACATAAGAGTTTCAGATATATAAGCAAGTAAATTAAATCCATTCAAAGCAAGCCTGACACCTGAGGATAGATTGGAGGGATTTCAAAATCAATTCATCTGAATAAATCACCCAAGGTGCGATAATCAGCAGCTAAGATAGACAAAAGTCCACTTTTGTTTCCTAGAAAGGAGTCCTCCTTTTCATGCTGCAATGTCAAATGAATGCAGAAAGAGCGAGCTGACTCATGAACTAATGCTACGTTTTGATACAAGTATACACCCAGCAAGCAGTCAGTTTTACCATGTAGCTTATGACTGCTTAAGAAATTTTTCTTTAATCATCATATTACCCTGATTAAAAACATAGTCTTCCTTTGTGCAAAAACTGACATGAAATAACTTGGATTTTATGCACTTAATAAATATAAGAGTCTACTATTAAGTCAGTCAGTAAAATGCTCCTTTTTAATAACTTTTACTACTATCCAACAGCCACTTCTTGAACTTTAAGGAAAAAAATAAAGCAAATGTGCTTTCTTTGGTTTTGGGAAGACATGGGGGCAACACTTCTTCTACACAGAAATACCAAGTCTATCACCATTAGAGTAACAAACGTGTGACTCCCTCAGAAGTTGCCCTCCATTAAGAAGCTGCTGAATTGGGATGCTCTGCCAGGCGTTTTGGCTTCTTTAGGGAATTTAAAAAAAAAAAAAAAAAGAGAAAGAGAGAGAGAGAAAACCTACAAAGCATTAGCCTCTGCGGCACGGAAACGCGTTACCGAGTGGCCCCGCGCGGCGCCTCCAGCCTCCGGTCC